TGTTATGAGTGACTGGGGTGGTACGAACTCTGTGGCGGCCGCTCTTAACGCTGGACTCGACCTGGAAATGCCTGGTCCTCCACGTATCCGAAAGGAAGATGCAGTCAAGGAATCACTCAAGAATGGAGAGCTCACCGAAATGACTATTGACGAACGAGTCAAGACCCTTCTCGAGTGGGCGATGAAGTTGAAGGCCCTCGAAGGCGAACCTCACGAGGTTGCTCTCGGCCAAGACACAAACACCCCCGAGATAAGAAGCATGATCCGCCAGGCCGGTGCTCGAGGTATTGTCCTTCTCAAGAACGAAGGCAGTATTCTTCCCCTGACGAAAGAAAAGGTTCAGAAGAAGAAAGTTGCCATGATCGGATTTGCCAAAGACGCTATGGCTCATGGAGGCGGTAGCGCTGCTGTCAACGCGTATCGAAAGGTTACCCCTTGGCAAGGTCTCCACGAAGCTCTGGGAGAAGACGTTGAGTTTGTGTTTGCTAAGGGCGCCCATAAAGAGCGACTACTACCTGCAATCCGCCCAGATACCTCTGTGGGGACAGTAGTCGGCCTTGATGGTAAGCCCGGCTTCAGCAGACAACTGTTCAAGGAGGGTGAGGAGACACCAGTGTCTACAACCGGCCAGCCAACGTCAGCGTACTCACCACTAGGCTCTCAAGAGTCCCTTTGGCGAAGGTTGGAGATCGTCGGGGACTTTACACCGTCTGAGAATGGAAGTCATTACATCGCCTGTTCTGGCCTGGGGCCAACCCGGGTCTACGTTGATGGCGAGATCATCTATGAACAGACAGCCAACTGCACGGATCCAATGGGTTCCCTCTTCCTTGCTGCGCCCGAGCCCGAGTTTCGGCACAGGTTCGAAGCAGGCAAGACGTACCGTCTTCGCATTTGTAGCGATCCACCAACCAAGATTGGTCTGACAATTCTCGAAGGCCGAAGTGGTGTCCGTGTCGGCTTCTCTCTTGAGTCCGACCATGATGCGGATCTTGTCGGTGAAGCAGCACAAGTCGCTCAAGGTGCGGACTACGCGATCGTCTTTACTGGCCATGACCCGCAGTGGGAAACTGAAGGTCGTGACCAAGACTCGTTCAATCTGCCTCGCAAAGGCACTCAAGATGCACTTGTGTCAACGGTCGCGTCAGTCAATCCTAACACAATCGTGGTTAATTCCACAGGTGTCCCCATTGCTATGCCCTGGCTGGAGAAAGTACCAGCTGTGGTGCAAGCCTGGTTTCCAGGTCAAGAATGTGGTTACTCTATAGCTGACGTCCTCACGGGCGCTGTCAACCCCGAGGGACGCTCGCCAGTCAGCTTCCCTAAGAACATTGAGGATAGCCCAGCATACGGCAACTTCCCAGGCGAATATGTGGATGGGCAGCTCAAGGTGAAATACGAGGAAGGCATCTTCATCGGCTACCGCCACTTCGATCGCTTACCTAAGGAGAAGGTCAATTTCCCATTCGGTCATGGGCTCTCGTATACTACTTTTGAGTATGAGCTGAGCAGCGTTTCCCGGGACGGGAGCGACTGGTCTGTGGTTGCTCGAGTAGCTAATACTGGTAAGCAAGCTGGAGGAGCATTGGTACAGGTCTACTCCGGACGGGCTGAGCAATCCCCGGTCCATCCTATCAAGACTCTTGTAGCGTTTAGGAAGGTTCAACTGCAGCCTGGTGAGAAGCAAGAAGTTCGACTTGCTGTGAAAGAGCGAGATCTGGCGTATTTCGATACCAATTTGAAGAAGTGGGTAGTTGACGAAGGCGAGTACCGCTTCTCGGTGGGTGCATCTGCTGCAGATATTGCAGGCAGTGTTGATGTTAGAACGGAGCAGGCAAAGTTTGACCCATAGACGTAGATCATAGATTTAGAATGCAATGGTATCTCCCGGCTTGAACATCAATATCAAAGCTAAGAGATTTGCTCCGAATCGACCCGGGCTCTCGATTTACAATTTGTCATGATGGCCTCGGATCAGGCGATTGAGCCTTCCGGTTGCTTGAAAGGTCCATATGAGACTAACGTTCGCGATTGGAGCTTGCTTGTCTATAACTACGGAGTCAAGCCCATGAGATCTGCTTCACATCAATGCCAAAACAAATACTACAGACCATGCCAGGTTCATACTCAGGCCAATGCCTTTGCGGCGCGGTCAAGTTCGCCATCACTTCAGAGCCAATCACGGTACTGTCATGTTTCTGCGACCACTGTAGCAAGGGCGCTGGCGGTCTTCAGCAATTGGTATGCGTTTATTATACATGTTGACTGTGGGCTAACTTGTATATTCAGATTGGTAAATTTTCAGTTGAGGGGGTTCAAATATCCACCACACCTGGAGACGCGATCTCGAGATACGCGCTTACGGACACGTCAAGCGGTAACTGCAAAGAGAAAGCCTTTTGTCGCGTATGTGGTTGCACATTATGGACCGTTCCAGCGGCTGCACAGGGCAAATTCTTGTTAATTCGGCTGCCGTTGTTGAGTCAAGGGTAAGTTGAGCTCCATCGGAATGCACGAGACTAATGCGTCGCGTAGCTTAGACTTCAAACCTCGGAGCGAAATATTTACAAGGAATCGGCCAACTTGGGTGGAGCCCGTCAAAGATGCTGAGCAATGGGAAGAAGGTCGGAAGTAACAAGTTTGAAAGAAGTTAGGAGCGTGAGGAGAAAGAGGGGAACCTGGTAGATAGTGGACCATAGCGGGATAGAGTTGCCCGGCCTCGGTGTATCATAAGAATTGATCCCGGCCAGCATAAGAGACGAAATA